ACAACCGTGCATCGAGCCAAAAAACGAGCCGGACTATCGACTTACAAGAAGGTAGTGACTCCAAATCGCGATGATAAACAAAATACGACGGCCAAAGCGCGATCCCGGAGGCTGTACACGACAATGCTGACGAAGTTTGACTGCGTGGTAATGGACGACGAAACCTACGTCAAAGCCGACTACAAGCAGCTTCCGGGACAGGAGTTTTATACGGCAAAAGGAAGGGGAAAGGTAGCAGATGTTTTCAAGCACATGAAACTGTCAAAGTTCGCAAAGAAATATCTGGTTTGGCAAGCCATCTGTACCTGTGGCTTGAAAAGCAGCATTTTCATAGCTTCCGGGACTGTCAACCAAGAAATTTACGTGAAAGAGTGTTTGAATAAACGTCTGCTGCCTTTCCTGAAGAAACACGGTTGTTCCGTACTGTTTTGGCCGGATTTGGCATCTTGCCATTACGGTAAAAAGGCCATGGAGTGGTACGCCGCCAACAACGTGCAGGTGGTTCCCAAGGACAAGAACCCTCCCAACACGCCAGAGCTCCGCCCAATTGAGAAATACTGGGCTATTGTCAAGCGGAACCTAAAGAAAACCAAAAAAACTGCTAAGGACGAGCAGCAGTTCAAGGCAAACTGGCTTTCTGCGGCGAAGAAGGTGGACAAGGTGGCTGTACAAAATCTGATGGCAGGGGTCAAGCCCGGCAATTTGGATTTGGAAAAGCGGAAGCCTTACTGAATATTTTTCCTGAATTTTATATTAATTGAACTTGAAAAAGAAATTTAATTTGATTTTTTAAATAAACGATTTCACCGATTTACACGCGTTTTCCCTTGACCAAATTTTGACCGTATCACCCTTTATGAATTTTGACTGAAAGAAACGATTTTTTGTCGACCAATTTTTGCTCGTTCCAGCCTTTAATTATTTTGTGGATTTTCAAAAAGACTTTTGATTTGTTAAACATTTTAAAGTTATATAAATCCATATTTCATTTGTATTTAATATTCAGGTAATATATTTTTTTATGAAATAAGGGATCTTACAATTTTATCTTAGCCTAAGAATTATGACAATTGATCTTATTTCGTTGACTTTTATTTACAATTATATTCGATAAATTTATGCAAAATATTAATTTTGAAATCTTGAGGGTTTGTTATCTCAAAACAATTTTGTTTTTGACATTCAGAATGTTAAGAATTGTGCATGGACATATATCTTGAACATTATCTTGAATCCTAAATGTATAATTTATACTATGTGCACTTTGCCATTTTTCACAGCCAGAATTTTAGAAAATTTTAAATTTATAAATTCTTAAAATTACCTAACTCTGAGAATTTTCTTAAGTTTGAGATGCTTAAATTTATGAGATCCAGACGGTATGTTATTTCTTTACAAACAAACATGAACAAACGATCATTGCTTGTTCAAATCAGTAAGCTTTGAAGGCTCCCAATATCGAGGTACCAATCGTTTTTTATGGAATAAATATAATCAAGTTTTTTTTTTTTTTTTATCTTTATTAAGGAGACTTTTAGCCGTTGGCTGGCTCGTCTCCGACTTAAAGTTTATTGTTTCACCATTAAAATAATAGAAACCTCAATGCCAACTGGTCACAGAAAAAAAATACTTAAAAACTACAATGGACAGCCCTATGGGGCTGTACCCAATGGTGACGTATGACTACGTGGTCTTATATAATAAACCTCATTTGTTAACTGAAGCAGGGGCTTGTTTTTTTTTTTTGTTTTTTTTTTTTTCTTTGTTTAAGAGACTTTTAGCCTTGGGCTGGTTTGTCTCTGGGAATCCCAGATGGGGAATCCCCTATTTGAGGGGGGTGGGAATTCCACAGGGAAATTACCCTAACAACATAGTTTGGATCCCAGAGGGGATTTCCGAAAAAGGGCGTGGGGCCCCGGAAACAGAGTTTTTAGCTACGGAGTTTTTAATTTGGTGGCCCTGGAAGGGAACCTCTGAGAGTGGGGTCCCTTAGTTGCTTAGTGGCTGTCTTAATTCTGTCATTTTGTTGGAGAATTCCGTTTTCGTTGCGTTGGTCTGTATAGTTGCTGATGTGGGTGGTTGGTTGTGAGATTCTGGTTCCGAGTGTGATCTGGTATGGTGGTGATGATGATGATGGTGAGTTAGGTGATCAGATTAGATCGAACAGCTCAGCTTCCCGCAGGAAAACTAAAAGGGCTGTCATTCTGGTAGAATCGTTACCGAGGGCATCGCTGATGCTTCCCGGGACGTCGTAGCGGGTTCTTGGTGCTTCGTATTTCCAACAGTGGCAGATAATGTGATCCACCGTTTGAGGAATTCGGCATAGATCACAGATCCTATGGAAAGGTCCGTCTCCCTTGTAGTTGTGGGAGATGTTTGTATGATGTGTTCGAAGTCGGGATACTATGACCTGCTCTCGATGTATCGTTGGGTCCGCCCACCTGGAGATGTCTCTATTAATTTTTCTGATGGCAGGGGTTTCACTGGCCGCCCAATCGCGAGCCCAACCTTCGTTGGTGATTTTTGATACCCATTTTTTGAGGTCCGGACCAGGTACAATTCGCGTGTACTTGGCCATACGACGACCTGAGTTGGCTAGTTGGTCCGCTTTTACGTTACCATGAACCCCGCAGTGTCCAGGTATCCACACAAAGACTGTGTTGTTTGGCGCGTGTTCCTGTATAGCCTGGATCCAAGGGTGTTTGCTCGTATCGGATTCCAGTGCGGCTACCACACTAGCGAAGTCGGTGAAGATGGCAATTGGTCGGTCGTCGGGAATGGTGGCTGCAATGAAGGCGGCAATGGCTTCCACAGAGAAAATGGAGCACTGATCCGGGAGTCTATGGCATTCCGCGAGGTTTGGACCGAAAATCCCGATTCCTACCTTTCCCTGGGCTACCGAGCCATCCGAGTACCGAATGGTGTATCCTCCGTATTTCCGGTTCTGGAGTTCGAGTACCGCTTGTGCCACCACTGAAGGATTGGCACCAGTTCTGAATTGGTGTTGTTTGATTGTGTGGTCGGTCAGAATCTACGGCATGTTCCAACCTCTCGCTCCGACCCAGTAAAGAGTCGGGTTGGATGCTTCTCTGAGTGAATTGTTCGCCTCCGTGAGGAGGGAATCTTCCTTGTCGTCTCGTGATGTCTGCTGGTAAAGTCCGATGGCTCGTTGGCAGATAGTTTTGGAGATTAAGCGATCAAAGGGGAGCAGTCCTCCTTCGATGCAAGGTGCTATTCCGGGGGTACCTGGCAAAAGACCCGAACAGATTCGGAGAGATTGTTGATAGACTGGCGCTAACTTTTCGATCAATCGGGGCTTGGCAAGGAACGTAGCTTCGATTCCGTAGGTTAGGCGTGAGTTGATGAGGCTTTCTCCACGTTCAGTCGGGATCTTCGGTTGGCATTTGGATGTCGTCCCGCTAGAGTTTTGAGCAGGTTCATACTCTGTTTGCATCCGTTTTTGACATCGTTGAAGTGTGTGTCGAAGGTGAGATGTCGGTCAAAGCAGACCCCGAGGATTCGGATCGTTTTCCGAAACGGAATTAGGTCTTCTTTGATGCAGACTTTGGTGCTGAGGACTTGGTGTTTTATCGGACAGATGTGGGTGAATCCTCTCCGGCAGGGGCTTGTGCTTTGTGTAGGAATAGGAATTTGAGCGGGGTTATCTCTGTTTATACTCTTTAGTACGACGCGCTTGACATAGATGGCGCACAGCAACTCACGAAGAGCTACTGATTCCGATCAATAGCGGTGCGGCTTCTTCCTACTTCTATAGATGCTCATCTAGGCTGCAGCTCGCTGCTTGCAGGCAGCCTTTCGTTGTGTACTGGAGAACATCACCACTCACCACGCGGTGATTGAATAAACACCGTTTGGTGAGACCAGATGGAATTCAACTTTGAAATCTGTTTTAGGGAAATCACTTTTCGCAGGCAATCTATGATAATTTTAACTATTATAGTAAGAGTTGCACATTCGTGCAATTTTTAATAGTGATATTTTGATAAATTCTTAAATTTAACAGATGCGTAGACACATTTCAGATCGAATGGTGATAAAATTATTGAAATTGGTCCAGTGGCAGCTGAGTTAATAACGTTCAAAATCTTTCATAATTGTGTTGCATGTTCCATTTTCGGTTTTCACAAAATGAACCCAATATAGAGATCACAGACGTAGTCCTACATCAAAACAAGTTGCCTTGACGCAATTTGATTGAATAGTATCTTCGCGAGTTTTTATTTAACCGTAGTTTAGCAAAATAAAAAATAAAACAGGCCCCCCTAGCCCCCCTCCAGATACATTTTCTAGTTACGCCAATGGATGTGACTTTCCTCCAAGGTTATCACTAAAGCAGAGTGATGAGCGGTATCCTTCACTAGTGGAACTGGTGCAGCAGATAATGATGGGGCACAGTCACGTTCACTGATAATGAATTTAAACAACATCCAACATTACAACATTTAATAAAAATGCTCTTGTTACGTATGTAAACAAAGTGTCACGTGATGAACTACTCAAAGGTTGAAAATCTCGCTAATAAAGCTTCAAACAAATGTTAATAAAGAATGCTTTTAATAAGTTTACTAACGCCTGTTGATAAAACAGGTTGTTATTTTAAAACTTTGATTGATTCATACTACTTTAGTTTTAACACCTCAAATTCATTTGGAATTTACGGGATAACTTTTTCTCCCACGCTAATTCTTTTGTCCCATACCAACTTTTTCTTGTCTCAATGAGATCTTTCGAATCAGATAAACGTCATTCGTGTACATCACAGGACCGGATTTGCCCAATCTCCTTTGAAATAAAAAAAAACTATCGGCAAAAGATGGTTTTCATAGGACCACTCTAATGACCAATTTAAATAAAATGTGCCTGTACATTTGTTTAAATATTTGGACTGTGCACGTTGAGCTGATAACGATTCACAGATCTACACGCCCAATGCATAGGTAAACGCCACTTCAGTGCCACTTTGGCTCACATGAAACAAAATGTTCTTTCCGATAGTGCTCTCCTTGCTTCTGGTGCTGTCTGTTTACGTTTGGCAGTGGCGTCGTCGATTATGCCGCGTTTTCCGTTCGATTCCGGGACCTCCAGGGCTACCGCTGGTGGGAAACACCCTTCAACTCATCGGGAAATCATCGACGTACCTCTTCCACATGCTGTACGATCTGGAACAGCTGTACGGGAGCGTGTACAAGTTGGATACAATGAGTGGCTTTTGGTTGTATTACAACGAACCGGAGTATGTCGAGAGGATTATGACTGGGCCAGAGTTCAATTGCAAAAGCGCTGATTACGATATGCTGCTGGACTGGCTTGGAACTGGGCTGCTGATAAGCAACGGAAACAAGTGGTTTACACATCGGAAGGCACTGACTCCGGCATTTCATTTTAAGATTTTGGAAAATTTCGTTCCGGTTTTTGATGAGAAAGGTGCGATACTGGCGATGAAGTTTTTGAGCCATACCGGTGGGGAGGTTCCCATTTTTCCACTGGTGAAACTGTGCACGCTGGATGTGATTGTTGAGACGGCCATGGGAACGGTTTCCAATGCCCAGAGCGAGAAATCGAGCTACACCATAGCTGTGGAGGACATTTCCGCCATTGTGTTTTGGAGAATGTTCAACGTGGTTCACCGGAATGACGTTTTGTTCCGGCTCAATAGCAAATTCGGTTCGTACAGTAGGTGCCTGAGGACGATTCGTGAGTTTACGCTGTCGATCATCGAAAAGCGGAGGGAAGCTTTGACGGATTCCGATGGGAAAGGGGAATGCCTACCGGAGGAGACGGGTGATGTTTTGATGGGATCCAAGAAAAAGATGGCACTGCTCGACATTCTGCTGCAAACGAAAATCGACGGCAGTCCACTGACGAATGAGGAAATTCGTGAAGAGGTGGACACTTTCATGTTTGGGGTAAGTTGAAAAATGATGCGATGTTGATGGAATCGATGACAGAAAACTATGTTCATGATCTAGAAGACGAACAGCATTTCAAATGTTTGCTCAATTTCACATTCAGGGCCACGATACCACGGCATCGGCCATCACCTTCCTCCTCTACTCGCTGGCAAAACATCCCGACGTTCAGCAAAAAGTGTATGAGGAGATCATTTCTGTAGCAGGTGAATCATCGCACACGCCATTCACCCTGAGGTTCGAGCACCGCACCTGTAATCGAAGGCCGCTCAAATTTAATTTTGTTTCTCTATTTTTCTTTTGCCCCTTCCATCAGCACCTTGAATGACCTGAAATACCTGGACCTGGTGATAAAAGAATCGCTCCGTCTGTTCCCACCGGTTCCGTACATCTCTCGTACCTCTCTGAAGGAGGTAAACCTCGGCGGTGTCACCATCCCGGCCAATACCAAGCTATCCCTCGGTATCTACAACATGCACCACAATCCGAAGTACTTCCCCGAGCCGGAAAATTTCCTCCCCGAGCGATTCGAAGCCGAGCGAGCAGCCGAAAAACAGAATCCCTACGCTTACGTGCCGTTCAGTGCCGGTGGCCGCAACTGCATCGGTCAGAAATTTGCCCAGTACGAACTCAAATCGACCATTTCGCAAGTGATTCGACTCTGCCGGGTCGAGCTGCCCTACCCAGGCTACGAGCCACCACTGAAAGCTGAAATGATTCTCAAACCACAAGACGATATGCTGTTGAAATTTTTCCCGCGATGATCAAATGTCTGCAGTAATTTGCCAGCGCACCTAATTTTCCAACCACCAACATTAACAGCCTGAAACTGAAAGTCCCTTCCGCAACCTCGGATTATCTCGCCCCTCGTACCAACCAAAGCTGCACAGCTAAAAAAAAGTAGTGTAAATTTCCGTTACTATGATGCACATAAATGGAGCGTCATAAATCATACAAATTTACATTATAAATCGTGTACATTTATGAGACATGTCATGCAATATTCCATATATTGTATGCAACTTTCCACCTTTGTTTGCTACATTTCTTGCAAGCTGCTAGTTTACGTGAAAAGGAAGTTTACATGCATGAATGTTTGCATGCATGGATGTTTACATCACCAGTAAAATTCAGATTTTTTTAGTGTGTGCCACTAACGAGCTCCGAAAGTGACACTCATGGCAACAAAGTTCTGATTATTTCTGCCCCGAAGCCTCGTAAACATATCCATATCCCGCACCCGCGCCAAAGTCTCAGCACCAAATTGGCCCCGTCAAAATTCCGCCAGATGTGTCATAAAATTTGCTTCAAACTTTCATCCCTCACACCATGGCGCCGGTCTGTTGCTGCCTGGCAAAAGTTTATCACAATTAAAGACGCTTCCGCCAACCGCCCCGGAAGAACTTTTTGGTTGAGCAAGTAAGTGACTGCCTGACGGACTGATTGCGAGCTATCCAAAGTGCCCTAATAAACGTGTAATCATAAGGCACGATCTTTCCGGATTCAGCGAAGGAGTAAGTACCTACCTGGCTGCCTTCCGAACATCGTCAGGATGCTGCTGCTTTGAATATTCCAAGTCCCGAGCCTGAGGAGGAGGCGTAAAATTCGTTATTAATGTATGCATACACAGAAATGTGTGGGTTAACGTGTGTGGGAGCCTATGGTGCAAGGCAGTGCGCAGGGTTGCTCCATGGGGAGGGTTTCCATTCGCGTTGTTCTCGACCTTTTGTCTATTTCAACCTTTTGTCTTTCGACATTTTTTGGATGGGGCCAGTGCTGTGTTCCTAAAATGTGAGCTAAGTAGTCGCACCCAATATTGACCTGCCCTTATGTTGTTACGCTGTGCGTTTGTTTTCAATTGAGTTGGCGGTAAAGATTGTGGAAAAGAATGGAATTTGTAAATATTAGGGATGGGTTGTATAAGTTGTAAATATTAGGTAACATGTGTTGTCATATAGGTTGTAATCTTGTGCGAAGAAGCTGGTTTGTGTCTGTTTTACATTTAGCTTTGTATATACATTTGTAAGGTTTTATAGCAAGCTAGCGTTTTTTTATGGAACAATAAATAAGATGGCTAAAGAGGAGAATTGCTAAATACGCGAAAGAGATAGGATTCAAATGAACACATATATAAGATGGCTAATCGACATATGTTTTCGCGCCATATCCGATCCTTTTATCTTGAAGAAAACCTGTGGTTTCTTGGGGAACAAAACCTCTAGTCTCGTCCATTTCGCTAACGAATCGGCTGGAAAGCAGATGTGTGTGACGCGGTTTTTAAGTTCGTAAAGTGGACTCTGTGAAAGTAATCTACGTACTCTAAGGTGATTAGTTTAAAAGTTGTTAATTGAGCCAGCTCAGTTATTTAACGTGTGTTTTTTGTACGTTTAGGTTAATTGTACTGTTCAAAGTAGTTGCGTCGCAGACATCTGCGTTTTTAGTGTTTTATCGTACAAAAAGGTAATTTGTAAAAAACTTTTAAACATTAGCATTTTTGTAATTTCGTGTTTTTCGCGTTGGACAGCTCGTTCAACGGGCTTTTTTGTACGGGCTGGATTTTTGACGAGTTCGGCAGTCATCATCGCCGGAACTTTGGCTTCGTGGCGTCATCAAAGCCACATTTTTCGTCCGTGAAGGACGGATCAGACCCGTGTGCACAGCGAAGGCCCGCCTCTCGTAGGTAGTCAAACGGAGGAGAGTGAAGACGCTAAATTTCTGCTTAACGAATTGTTTCCCGACGGTCGCCAAAAGCCGTCGGTAAGGCCCCCATCCCGTTACAACTCCGGGGACCGTGACTGTCGAGAGCTCGGACCGTAGAAGTACGAAGCCAATCGTGTACCTCGGTTCGGATTTTAACCAAAGAGGAGAAGATTTCATTCCATCTCGGGCGGTCAAAGCGGAAACATAGTACGCGAAGCCGTGCGACGGTACGTTGGTCTCTCTCTTCCGCGGAGCGAATCTCCCGGGAAAAGCTCGACTCCGTCGATGCTCAGCTCTCTAGAAAGCAAATCGGAAGCCTTCCGTCCAGCCGCCACTACCTCCGCACCTCTAATTTCGGCCATACCGCACACGGGTCACTTTTCGTCGCTGCACGCCATTTCCGCAGCTAGATCGGCGCCATCATCACAGGTCATCGGCAGGTCGACAGTCGCCATCGCTAGGACCTTGGTAAGGTCTCCGGCCGCCATTATCGCTCCATGCGTCGCCATCACCGCTTCATCCGTCGCCGTTGCATCGCATCGCATCGCATCGCATCGCATCGCATCGCATCGCATCGCATCGCATCTCACGGAACCTAAATCCTGCGCAGGTATGTCCGTATTCTTGTTTTCATGGCCATGAATTTAGTTTTTCCGTTGTTATCGGGATTGTCCAACACAACACGAATGTAATTATCAAATACGTGAATATAGTTTGAATTGGTTGTTTTTTGTTGTAAAGTATATAGTTTTCCTTCATACTGTTGCGTCTCTTAGCTGGTTCATACGTCACTGTGTATTCCATTCGTAAGATCTCTCTCTATTCATACATACTTGTTTTTAACCCGATTCGTTGTGTTTATGCTGATAGAGCTTAGCATTTTGGATCCTTTCGGGGTTGCAGGTTTTTCGTGATAAAAGTAAGTTCGGATAAAAGTGTTCATTTGATCTCAGGCGTTAGCGAAAATTCGGGGTTGATTCGTTGAGGTACTTCGAGAATCGTACCGTACGGGAGTCCTCTGAGATTTAGTCTCAAAGTGTCGGGCAAGTTTAACACGACCGGTGGTCTCTCTTCGTGAGAGTGGCGCTTAAGCCACCGTGTTTAGTTTTATCTCAGGAAATTTCCCGCACGGTTACAACGTTGATGACGTTGTTTCAAATAGTGTATTATCGAGTTACGTTCTCGGTACGTTGCAAAACATATGCACTTTGTCGCTGCTGCACGATGAGCAGTACCGTACTCTACAGGTGTAGGGCTGCCATTTGTCGTACAACAAAAACCAGAGGGGCGGAAAATTGCTCTTATATTGAAATTATTCTTAATTTCTAAAAGTTCCGTCAACATTTTCCAAGCACCATCATTTTTGTTTTCATATATATCTAATATGATACTTGACTTTCTCCAAACTTCAGGAAAAACCTTGAACCATTTCTAAAAGTTTTCCTAAATATTCGTTTGAAAAACCTCGAGCAAAACAAAGTTCCCAAAACTACCTTACCTTACTTACCTTATCAATCAGGCTTAGGCCTTGTTGTCCTCTGCTGTCCGAAGAAGTCGGCTCCACTCAACTCGATCCGTGGTCATATGCAAGGTTGCAAAGACTCATTTCAGCTAAAATAATGTTTTTCGGAATAATAAAACCAAAAGATGGTATGATGGCATGTTTTACTTGTAACTTACAAGAAGAGGTTACAAAGTATGCGTTGGAAACATAAAACCTGTAAATTTTGCTTTCTATGAGTCACAATCAGCGATTTGCTGATCGCTGAGTGAGTGAGTGAGTGAGTGAGTTTGTGAAAAATCGCTGATTGTGACTCTCATGAAGTGAAATAAACAGGTTTAATATGTCAAACACATTCTTTGCAACCTCTTCTTGTATCCTACCAATTCAAAATTTGAACATGGCATCTAATTATTTCATAATTTAGAAAAACATTGTTTTAGCTGAAATGAGTCTTTGCAACCTTGGTCATACGTCGCGCCACAGTCTGCAAGTCGCTTACGACACCCATTTTCACTGCGTCATCATCCGGCATTCTTACTACGTGCCCAGCCCACCGTAGTCAGTCAATTTTTGAAATGTGGCCGATGTATGGTTCTCCCAGCAGCTGCACAGTGGAACGAACCTATTGAAATCGTGCGTTTTTTTTAATTGCGTGTAAATTTGAGCTTTAGCAAAGGCAATGTCTTCGAAGAAGTTTATTGGACTAAAATAGTATATATTTTCGTTCCATTAGGGTGATGATGTATCTTCGTATAAGGGAGGCTTTCAGCCTGAGGCCGGTTCGCCTCCACACCGCCGCTCAAAAAACCTCAAACGGCAATAATTCCTGTAAATTAATTAAGGAAGATAATTTCATTAAAATGTTGCCTAGTAAATTAGCCATGGAAAACATTAATACATACCACTTCATCTTCACTGCACGTCAAATCGCTTGCGTCGCTGGAACTGTCGTTGTGATCAGAGCTGGACTCACTTGTTTCAATAAGAAGAGCATTGGCATCAGTGAATAATGCCATAATATTTTTATCAGGAAGTGCTCGTAGACTTGGAATGAGTAGGTCGGATCAGTCCGCATCGTGCTCTTTTGCCATGCGGGTCTATTTGCTACAACAAATTTAAACAGCACTTTTCAGTGCTCAACCTGTAAAATTTTTACCTTTTTCAACTCTTATTCCTCTTTGATCCTTGTGGGTAGGGTCCCCGAGGTAATCCTTCTTGGATATCGATTTGGAAAATGCCCCTTCGACCCTTCAGATTCTTATAGTAATCTGCTTGGAAGTCGATTTGGATTAAAATTTACTGCCGCCATGGTGCCTAAGCGCAAAAGAAAAGGTCAAACTTTTGATCCCCCATCTGATGAAATTAATTTGAGCAATCACTTTGATTTGCTCACGGATGATGAGAATGATCAATCATCCAAGAAAAATTCTAGTAAACTTTTCCGGCTTAATGCCAAGAAGGAAAAGATTCCCCCTATTGTGATAACCATTTCCGATGTCCATGCTCTTCGCATGGAACTTTTGAACTTCGTGAATGTTATGTTTTCACTACAAATTGGACGTCGGGGTGAAT